CTTTTGAGCCAGCAGCAAGGTAGTATCAACAGCCTGGGATAAAATATTACTGATAAAAACAATTACAAAACATTAGAAATATCCACTTTTCCAGGATAACCACTAGATTCATTTATGATTCATCTGGTAACATGTACATTTTAAAGATAAGACCCTATTCAAATTATTGGGAGGGATTGGGGAGTGTGAACATTTGCCCACTCAACATATCAAAATAACACCTATAAAATGTAGTGATCTCTTTTCTTTATGCATATGCAGTGAGGCAAAAACACAGTAAGTAAAACAATTTCACATGTAAAACAAATGAAAAACAACCTGGCTTTTGTGTGCAAGACCTGTATCTTAATTCAAGACATCACACCATAAATGATATGTTGTCCACAAATGTAAAATAGTCTTACACAAGTGAGAGTCTTCCACCTGAAAGCTGTCCTTACAATTTCTGTATTCATCAGATGCCATGAGGAATATGTTTGTCCTTCAGAAAGAATTATGGAAAAGTGTTGAGAAACTGTTGAAAAGCTTCAGCAGGAACTACTACAAAGCACTGGAAAAAGGGTAAGTTTTCAGTATCAGCAGAAACTGACGTAGAAAATCTAACTTGTTCTCCAAGTTGAACAACGAATATGTGGTGTACACACACTTTGTGTACTTTGTGTAGGGAAAGAGTGTAAAGATGCAAATCAAGTGCTGGGTGGAAAACCCAGGAACAGATCTCAAAAGAATAACTTTTGAAGTTATAGTAATATAGACAAAGATACGCTGCTATATATGTAACAAACATTTCTAACATTTGCTTAGTCAAATACTGAAGGGAAGTGAGAAAGCAAATACTGTGCACCTTGCCAAATACTTGATGGCAGATAGAAATTTTATATTTTGCATTTGATGATGAATGAGTGGATCCTCAGAAAAATAAGATAGTTCATGGGTCCCATAAATGATCAAGAAACATTTACTAAGATACAGGGTTATGTGACAGAAAAATCCTGGGCTCCATCACTGAGTCCCACTAAGCATTTCCCTGGACCCTGTTGGATTTTTCCTGGGCTTCATTAGTTACTGATGAACATTTGCATATTGATGTATGATGCACTGAAGGTGCCAAGTGTCATTGCATAGTGTTCATGCAAATGAGACTGTTCATTGCCCTGGCTTGTTGATGAAGGCTTGCAGCACAGTTTGTAAGGGCTTTGTTCCCAGTTTTACACCATTACAATGCAAGTGATTTCTCTAATTGGAATCCCCTTCCTTTAATTGAACTTAATTGTGAAAGCAGTAGCTGCGGTGATCTACAGAGCTGTACAAAGTTTAGGATACTGATTATAATTTTGGCTTTTTAGTAAAGTGTCCAGATCAAGCAGATTTTACTGCAGAAAAGGAAGAAAAATAAAGAAATCTAGCTCTTTAAATACCAAAGAAACATTCAACATTCATTTCAAGGTCAAGCCAGAAAAGGTTCTGCTTTTCATGCCCATTGGCCCTTTTTATAAAACTGCTGCTTTGCATTTGCCCTCTCCTTTTGATGTCTTCGCCTCGATGTTTTGGCTGAAAGCAGGAAGTAGAGCAGTGGGTGAAAGCTCACACACACAGGAAAAAAAGTTTAAACATTTTCCATGGTCAGAGGGGGGTTGGGGTTTGCACAGAGGACAGAGAACTGTTTAATTTAAAATGTGGTGAATCCAAAACCAGTCGTGCCCACCTCTAGGCGTAACCAAAACAGAACAAGCACATTAAGTTCAGTTCCACTGAAAACACAGACTGAGCACAAAATGGAAAAGGGCTACACAGGATGGCAAGGGCTTCAAGTGATGCGGGGAGAAAATTCCACAGGAAAGTATTAGTGTGAACATAAGCCAGCTGTGTTATTTAATGACGGGAGGCAGGTCCTCTGTGTGCTCAACATTTTATATGTTTTCTTGTAACAGCCAAGCATTCCATTCAGGCACTATTCACAGTTTGCAGAGCCACTCACATGGCTGCAGATTTTCAGTGAAAAGCCATAAAAGCAGTGTGGCTCTCGCTTTGCAATAAACTCAGCTGTTCTTTGTCTCTTGTTTGCTTGTACTGTACATCTCTGTTGCAGTTTCATGTTCTTTTAATTTGATAGGTTCTGATTAACCACAAAACTTAAGAAATACAGCTGGAACAGGCATGCAGCTCATTTTGATACCTCGAATCCCCTTGACACTCAACAGGCCTGCAGAAACTCCTACAAGAGACATCAGAAAAAAAAACACTACTCAGTGGCCCACAGATACTGTCCAGACTCTGTACTCCTCTCTCTTCCATTTACAACACTTAGCATGTACAAAGACCAGAAACCAAACTCATCCCCCAGCAAGGATTGGCTTCTCTGAAGGCAAATCGCTGGCACTGTTGGCACTGACTTCATTTTCCTGTCCACCTCTGTTGCCTGATAATGATAGAGGTCTGACTGCAGACTGATAAGCATGTGAGAACATAAGGAAATCTCATAATTTGGGGATGTCAGGTGAATTAGTGCACGTGCTTGCTTCAGCCATAATCTGTCTGCTCTGCTGTGAGCCAGGGGTGCCACAGCTCACTCTTTGGTGTTCAGACAGACAGAAAAGGTATGACCTGTCCTAGGTTACACTCAACTATGAATGCAGCACTGTGTGCGCCCACACCTGGTGGATGCCATGGCAATCATAGCCTGAGTAGAAAAGAAATACTGTGTGGCTGCAAACCTTCTTTGTGTTATGACCTCTTTTTTTCAGGTGTTGGCTTCTATGATAAACAGCTGCCCACAGGGTTGTTTTTTCCAGACAAGGTCGTTGTTCTAAAGGTAAGCTGTTATTTCAAAAGTAGGCAAAAAAAAAAAAAAAAAAAAAAAAAAAAAGGCATTGCAGAATTATTGTTTGAAAGATGAGAGGAGACTTGAACTCGATGATCCTTGTGGGTTTCTTCCAACTCAGGATATTCTATGATTCAACAGTAAATACCCCTTCCTCACAATAAAAAATTACCCAGACTCTATTTGACTAATTTTATAGCTGAACTGGCTGACACTTAGCTCTCAGTATGTTTAGGTAACACATACTTAAGCCCCTAAACTGAACCTCAAAAGGCTAAGGTATACATTGAAAAGAAAAATTTATGAACTGTATACTGGCAACGGTAAGAACACAGATACCAAAAGAAGAGCTTTGATAAAACAGCAGACATTGTGCTCCAACAAGTATCCTCCTGATGTAGTGACCCCACCTGTACTGGGATGCAAACCAGTGACCATCAGTGGACATTTGGCAGAGCCTGGAAACACCAAAGTCCAAGTCTGTGACTGCATGGGGTCATGACTGCAACAAAACTGGGAGAAAAGCCTATGTACAGAGCTGCAGTGCTGATCAAAGCCTGCAGAACACTTTTAATTTCTGAATTTCTAAGAGCTGCAGAGGTTAAGGGAGGCCCCTTCCCAGGCTGGGACAGCCCCTGCCCAAGGGTGCCAACCCACGACAGGCACTTCTGCAGGCAGAATCCAGCAGGGTCTGAGCTGGTGGTTTTAAGGTGCACCCGCAAGCACAGTACACAGTATTTCTCCAATTCTTTCTAAATAAAATGTTGAAAGACCTTTGTCAACACAGGGGAGAGGGACAAAAAAAAAAAAAAAAAAAAGCCACAGGAAGTAAATCTGGGCCCTGAATATCTCTTGGTAGCTGGAAGGCACACAAGAAATGGCTCATTCAGTTCCCAGGTTTGAGAGGAATAATCCAACCAGCATTCACGAACAGTTGTGTGTTTTTGTGTGTGCACGTGGTTTTAAAACATGGTGTGTGAAATTTGCATTTTTCTATTTAACATCATATAATCAAATTTCCACTCTAAAAGTTACAGGATGTTGTGTGTGCATGTTAGGGGAGAAATTTAACTCTTCTTGCTTGTTGGCTGGAATGCACGCGTACTGGAAGCAGTAAAGAATTGCTGAGGATCTGACAAGGTTAGGGAACTTTAACTGACCTAATTAGTTACAATACTGCCCCCTCCCCCCCTTTTTTATTTCCTTCCCAAGGACACATCACCTCAGGGAAGGTTCTCTGATTAATAAGTTCTCCCAGCTTCAGAGATACGGAGATTGTATTTCTATCTGAAAGCCTGAGTTACTAGGGAGGCTGGAACTAAGACTTGTTTCAGCTTGTAAATCACAGGGCTATGTGCCATGGGCCAGGCTCTGTTTTGATTTGGTACAGTGTAAAGAGATCCCTATCACAGTGCCCCATATAAACATCCAAAAAGATCACGTTTCTAACCTCACAGCAAGGAGCAGATGTAATTTTCCATGATTCATTTACGGGTTAAAAAAGTCAATAGGAGTGTTACAAAATGTTCAGTTCAGTTCAAAAATAACTACTAGCTATACATTAAGCAACCCTCCAAATACATGATAACTTCTGGGAATGTCAACCCAAAAGAGTACAGGCTGGTTGGTAAATTGCCTCTGTGTCAAAAATAACGAGTGTGTTTGTTGAGCAAGGTCATTACAGTAGTTCAAAACTTGTGGTCGGCAGCAGCATGCTGGATGTTGCTGAGTCTGCAATTTCATGGCAATACAAATATCAACAGACTGGCCAAGTAGCGCAGAGTCAGTTTTTGTAACTGAGCACTGAAGGATGTGTTCAGGACTCTGATTTATTAGAAACTTCATCAACAATTGAGTTAGGATTTCCCCATATAACCTTTTGAAGTGTAAATGTGCACAAAATTATACTACATTGCAAAACCAATATGTTTTCTCCAAAGCTTTACATATGATTTTGATTTAAAAATGCACAAGTCTGAACACATTATTTGGAATGTTTGTTTGTTTTTTTCCATCTGGAGATACACTCAGATCCAAGTACATCAAAAGATAAAGTAGCTTCACTAAAATTTCTCCAGGGAAAAGACCCAGTAATTCCAACTATTGAGAGAAACTGGTAATTAACATGAGATGAGGTGTATTTGGCAGCAGCAGAGAACTTTCCTGGCCCTCTATCATATCTGTATATCTCACAGTCATTGCTGAACTTTATTATTACAACAACCTTACAGAGAATGGCCTTATTTTGCTAGCACAGTGCATGCTGTAAGTGTGTAAGAATAGATAAAAAGTTCTCAAAAATTATCAAGCAATAAGTTTAGGGGATGATGAAGGAGAACAGCATCTTATGTTTAATTCCACATGCAGAAAACAATAGAATCCACTCAATTACTGATTGTGCAGGATTCATCCATCTGTAGCTAAATAGTAGTTAAAATGTAGCAAGGTTTACAACTAGACAGGAGTCATCACAGGAGCATATTTCTCACATCTCCACCCGTTGCTCACTTGATCCTCTGGAAAAATAAGATATCGAATAGGACTTTTTAAAGTCAATATATAATGAAATGGTGTTTTCTCTATAATTAGGTATAGCTGACTATATATAAAATGATTTTAAATTAAACAATATTCTTTAAGTAAATGTCATTTATACTGTAACCTTTGAAGCTTCTGTAGAATACTATACACCTCCATTCTATTTTGATTTTTCCACAGAAGTATGCCCAACACAAGTACAAAATTCCCCTATTTCCATAAAATGTATGTTTCTGACATTCATTACCACCAAATCAATGTCTCTCCTAAGTGTCAATCAAGTGACTAATATCTTTTCTTTCAGTTCCTTACTCTGATGGCTGCCTGTTGTAGATTCTTCAACCACCTGAGTTTATTTTAAGGGATTCTCAGATGAATGGTGCCCTAACAAATATAAGTGCAAGTAAAAATTTAAGTGCAGTATGCCTTCCCCCGTGGTCTAGGCCATGAGCTTTTGAAGGCTTGAGGGGTGACTAGAAAGAGCTGAATGACAGGCTGAGATTGGAGGGAGTCTCCATGGGCTGGTGATAGGGCTCGTAGGGATGCCTGTCCTGTTCATGGGACCTACAGTCACAGCAACAGCGTACCACTGTCTATTCAGACTGGCTCATTTAGCTTACTAAGTAAAACTGCCAGACAAGATTTGCTGTTTTTCAGTTATTTTTTTTTTCCTGCCAGCGTATAGAGAATAGCTCTGTCCTCACCGAACCACAAACAGTACCACCCAAGGATGATGCCGAGGAAACTTGATATGTAGGAAGGAAAAAAAAAAAAAAATTCAAGAATTTTAATTTGAGGCTGAGACAATTTTCAGGAGTATGAATTACCATTGAGTTAAGAAGGGAGAAGGAAACAAAAGGACATCAGTGGTCAAAACAAAAAATGTCATTCTGACATTGCTCTTAGTTTACGGGTTTGGAATTGTATTTTATTATTATTATTATTATTCCTTTTCAAAAGCTAAGCATGAAAGTTCTTCTTCAAACAGTCAGCCATCTGGCCCTTGCTGGATTTTAATCCAGCTCCTGAAATTTGATCTGAATTCATATAGGCAACAGTGTCCTTTGAAGTTAGCAAGCACATAAACACAAAAGCTTTATCAGTAGGACCATTCATACTGCAGCAAGCAATTGCAGGGTAGATTCATCCAGCCACAGCCTGTCCCCACACAAAAACCATTCCCAACAAAGCATCAGTTTTGAGGATGGATTCCCACTCACCAAGCACACACAGTCCCAGCTACTCATGTGATGCGTTGGGTGCTAAATAGGAACAAGAGTGGGCCTGACCCCGCGGCCTCCAGGACAAGCTGCAGGGCTTTTACACAGACGGCTATGGCCTGAATAGCTCGCTGACTATATAGCAACAGCAGTGCACTAAAGCTTTAAGAAGAGCTAAAAACAAGGTTCTTGTTGTGTTGCTCAATAGCTGCACAGTGCCAAGGAGCCTGGCAGGGTCTGCTTCACAGGAAGGGTCAGGTCAAACGGATCTGTGGTGTGTAATTTTAGACCTCTGCCCGGCACAACGTAGCAACAGCTTCTAGCTGGCTCTTCTGAGAGACACCCTAACCACAATGTCCTTCCTACAGCCCTGAATAACAGCAGTTTCTATAAGTATTAACATAGTTCAAAATGTCTAAATAATATGAAGTCATATATAATGACACTAGAATGACAAAAAATGTCCAAACACCCTATGCCATTAGGAAACCTGCAGGTTTCCCCTAAGTCTTCCGAATGTTATTGGGCAGCTGGACAACCCTCAGCTCTGCTTGCTTCATCTGCGAGCTCCCACTTAGCCTGTCAGGGTTGTCATCTGCTTGAGACATTCTCAGATGAAGCAATTAGCTCAATATCCTTATTTCCATCCCCATCTCCATTTTTCTAGCTATTCCACCATCACTGGACATGTCACTGTATAAAGAAGAGAATCACAACTTCATTAAACCACAAAGCTGATTAGATCCCTGCTGTCTGTAGAACAATATTTCCTATCTTGTCTGGGCATGGCATAATTTACGTGAAATTGTAGCAGCTCCAGGATCACATCATGTTGGATTTTCATACAGCTTTGTTTGTCTTCCTGTGTAATTGCAATTTCCCAGCAATTGCAATATGTTTCTAACATGGCAGGCATTCTTATATCTAGGTTTCTCCTGAAAACATTGTCAGCAGGTGATAACTCATGATTCATTAGTGCAGTTCTGCAGTTTTGCTGTTCCCATCTCAAATCACAGTCTGATTCAGCAATCTTCTATAAGGCACTTTATTATTTTGATAATATTTTCCAACTACTTGATGGGAAATAATAGGGTCTAGTGGTTACTCATCTAAAGTTGTATTTCCTTCCAAATGACCTAAATTCAATTAAACGTCAGACATGAACTTTTCATGAAACTTCTGTCTAGCTACCAAAAACTGGATATGCATGGCGGTACCTACTCTTAAGAGTATCTCAGGAAAATGGAAACAGCTTAGGACAACTCCAACATTCATGTTATATCTAGCTAACAAACAAATTGGTAATTATATTTTTTTCAATAGATCAATAACTTTTTTTTTTTTTTTTTTTTTTTGCCAACAAGTAGGCCCCTTTGCTTTATTTGGACTATATTTCTGCCATAGACATCATCTAAATAGTTTCCAGTCTCTCACTGTAATTTTAAAACCAATATAAAGCATATCCAGCCTTGCACATGGCTTTTTCCCATTCTTAAATGAGTTTCATATGACATGTTAACATATTTTTCTGTTGCACATTGGTAATTACAAGATGTGCTAAAAAGAAAGTCCTGTCTAGGATTAAAATGAAGTTGATCAAAAGATCTGAGAATACACTGACCTAGGCAACTTTTCCTGGAAGAACTTTGTCTCAATGACATCTCCTATAATCATTTGTGTGAGACTTGAAGAGGATGTTATAAACTTGACATGCCCAAAATACAACTCTGTAGTTTCCCTAAAGGCACTTAAATACATCTATTTGTTGAAACCAAGTCTCCCAAGTCTGTATTCAGTTTGTACTTGAAGAAAGTAACCTCTATATCCATGAGAGAAGTTTACCAGGCCCTTTTGGCAAAGACAAACGGGAATTGTAGACATTTTAACCTAAACTCTTACCAAAACAAATGTTTTTTTTATATATATAATTGCAATAGCTGTTTCAGAATGATGTTCCAATATTGTCTTTGAAGTTTTCCAGGGCCAAGTTCCTTTTTTTTTTTTTTCCATATTGTCACCTTTCAGGAAACTCTTGAACTGACTCCAATTTCTCAAAACCTATCCATGAGAGAACTCTGCCCAACAGCAATTAGATACTTCTGCACAGTAGTACCTTCAGGTCGCTGATTTTGGCAGCTGCATTAGGCATAGACATTCCAATATTCTGCTCCAAAGAACTGTTGTGCCCCTTGCTGCCTGCAGGTACAAGTATGAGGTGTTAGCTTCAGCTTTATAGTTACCTACTTGTTCTCTGTGGTATGATATTTTTTCTTCTAGGTACCTTATTTTTGCTACAGAGAATGTACATTTTTGTTTGTCTAGGTTTAGTCCAGCCAATGTGATTCTTTCCAGAGCTGTTCAAAGCCTCTGATCATGTTCTTCCACTATGTTTGCATAGATTAAAATATCTCTTTAGATCATCAAGGACTTGTTGCATTTTCTGCTGAAACAACTCAGATGTGAAAACCAACATAAACAGCAGCTTGAAGAACATGTTCCTTCCCAAAGGTGTGCTGAATGTGGAAACCCTCTGCTCTAATGGCACCTGCCAGCAGCCTCCCATCCACCACATGAAAACATTTAGCATCATCCTTTTTGAAAAAATAAGAAATTAAAAAATATATATTGCCCTTGTAGATAAGGGTCTAAATCCCCGTTTATTATGTATTTAAGTGTTTGATGCCTTTAAATAAGCAGCTGTTTCCATCTTTCCCTTCTCCTGGCCTCCAGTTCTCTCTTCATTGGGGATATACCCAGTAATTTCAAAGACTGGTGGACTACACACCATGAAGTTAAATGTTCCTCCTTCTACTCTTATAAAGACTTAGCTGTACAAAATAAATAAATAAATAAATAAATAAAATGTCTTTAAGGACTGGAGCTTAAGGAGCCTAGTGACCCTGTTCTTCCCTTTGAGGTGTTTGTCATTGCCAGTACTCTTATGTTACTGATGCCTCCTTACACTACTTTGGAAACTTGCTTCCTTGCAAAAGCCAATCCTCACACATACTCTTCACAAGATCCTGACCTTGTCATTGATCATCATTAAGCAAGGTCAGATCTATTTGGTAGGAACTTCAAGTATTACAGTTATCTCCTCCTCCCTGCAAGGACCGGTTTGATTGAGAGAACGAGGTGAAGTACAGACTGAGGGACCTACAAATGATTCTGATCTGTTGGCTGCAGCCAAATATCAACTTAATTTTAAGTGAAGTTCAAACGCATGCCCGCCAAGCACTGCCAGCACTCTGATTTCACAGCAAGGCCACCTGGACACACAAGCTGAGCCAGAGCTGCAGGACACAGGAAGGAATTCATCTTTGGAAGGAGACAGCAAGACCAATATCAAAGGGAATTTAAACCAGTTTATTTCTGAGGTATTTCCTTAAGGGAGATGAGTACCCTTGAATTAAGGCTGTAAGAGCACTGAGGTTTACTGTGTTTTAAGAGTGATATGCTTTTCTCTTTCCCATATCAGCCTGTATGGGAAGTTTTGTGCTGGTGACTCAGCACCATCTACAAAACACTTGGGGCTTTCAAAATGTGACAAGACCATTGAGGGAATGGTTTTTAAATAGTTTCAGAAGGAAAAGTGATGAACTCTGATTCACTGCGAGATCCAAAAATCAGTGCTGATTTGAAAACGCTCACCAGCATTGAAAGCTAAATACAGACAGTTAAGGCAAAGCTGACAAAGCACATTCCAGTGCCTTTTCCACTTTTTTAAGCTGGAAAAAAAAAATAAATAAATAAAAAATCTGTGGTGCCAAACATCCCAGGCAGAGGGGTTCTGCTTCTTTCTACATGCTGAAAGCATACAGAAGCATGCACCACACCAACCCCCTTCCACTGTGTGTCACCCTGTCATCAGCCTGATGAGACTGGAGACAATGGGAAAATTTGTGTTTTTAATGCAGCCCAGCCACACAGCTCTCCTTGTCCCGGAGGACATCTTCCACCAGTGACGTGACTCTGCAGCCACACAGGAGGCAGAGCAGAGGTCCTACAACTAGCTTTGTGGTGCACTGGCAGAGGTGGGAGGGAGAGCTGTCTGCCAGCTCTGCAGCCCACAGCCTCGTGGCAGCACCCTGTCACCTGTCTTTTCCATGAGCAGATTGGGACACAAGACAATTTTGCTCAGGATGTAGATACTGCCTCTTTTTTTACATATCCACTAATGTTATAGGGATCCACAGCCCAGGCTGCGGACTTGCACCATATGAGCCAGAGACTTCTATGTGGGGATGCAAGATAGTTTATGGTACTTCTGGATTTTGACAGAAGGCTCAGCTGTAATACAAACATAGCCAATATTTCTCAGATGTTGGCCCTCCAGGCTGTGGAAAATATCCTGACCTGTGTTTGTGAGGAGTTCAGCATGAAAAGGGCCTCTGTGTGAGCCAAGGCTTCAGGACAGTACCATAACAAACAAAGGCCCAGATAGCAATCACAGTGTGTTAAGGCATTTTCCTCACCACTATGAGAAACGTGTGTACTTTGTAATGGTAAAAATCAATTGTTACAAG